TCAGCCCTACAGAGGATGCAATAAGGAAAACTTCAATACATAAAAGTGTAAGCACTTGCAAGAAAACAGAAAAAAATTAATAATCTCACAGCAAACCCAAAAGATGAGAACTGCACACATATAATACCATATCCAAAAATAAAAATAACAAGAACTAACAATCATTCATCTTTAATATCTCTCAACATTAATAGACTCAATTCCCCAGTAAAAAGACACAGGCTAACAGACTGGATACATAAATAGGATCCAGCATTTGTTGCATACAAGAAACACACCTAATTGACAAAGGCAGACACTACTTCAGAGTAAAAGGCTAGGGGAAAATCTCCAAGGAAATGGTTCCAAGAAATATGCTAGTGTCACCATTTGAGTAGCCAAGGAAACAGGCTTTCAACCAAAAGAGATGGAGAAGAAACTTCTTGCTTATCAAAGGAAAAAACTGGATGAATTCTTAATTCTGAAAATTTATTCCACAATGTAAAGACACCAACATTCATCAAAGAAACTTTACTAAAGCTCAAAACAAATATTGACCTCACACAATAATAGTGGGAGAATTATATATCATACTTCCACCAAAGGACATGCCACTGAAAGAGAAACTAAATAAAGACACATGAAACTAAGAGAAGTTATGAAACAAATATATTTAACAAAGATCTACAGACTATTTCACCTCTAAACAAAAGAATATACTTCCTTCTTAGCACTTCATGGAATGTTCTCTAAAGTTGACCAAGTAATCAGACACAAAACAAGCCTTACCACATACAAGAGCACTGAAATAATCACATACACTCAATCATATGACCATGGACTAAAGCTGGACTTCAATAACAACAAAAAGAGCATAAATCCACATGCTCCTGGAAACTAAACTCAATAATGAATGATAACTTGGGCAGGGAAGAAATAACAAAAGCAATTAATGACTGACTAAAATCATTGTCAATGTAGGCACAGAATACCCAAATTGATGGGACACATCAAAAGCAGTGCTAAGAGGAAAACTCACAGTACTAAATGCCTTCATAAAGAAATTGGAGAGATCCTATACTAGCAATTTGACAAGCATATCTGAATGTATTAAAACAAAAAGAAGAAAATGCACACAAGATGAGTAGAAGGCAGGAAATAATCAAACTCAGGGCTGAAATCAACCAGTTAGAAATAAAGAAAGGAATACAAAGAATTAATATATCAAAAAGCTAGCTCATTGAGAAAAAAAAAACTCCAAAAAATAAGATAGATAAACTCTTAGCTAAACTAACTAAAGGGTGCAGAAACAGTATTCAAATTAAAAAAAAGTCAGAAATGAAAAGTAAGATAACAATAGAAATTGAAAAAATAAAAAATTATCAACAAAACTGATAAATCTAGATAAAATTGATGGTTTTCTAGACAGATACCACATTCCAAAGTTAAATCAAGATTAGGTAAACTATCTAAATAGCCCCATTACTATTTAATTATGGGGGACTAAGGAAATGCAAGCTGTCATTAAAACCATCCCACATTTTTTTGAAAAGCACAGGGCAGAATTCTACAGACCTTAAAAGAAGAACCAATACCAATATTTCTCAAAATGTTTCACAAAATAGAAACAGAAAGAACACTACCTAATTCTGTCTATGAAGCGTCAGTCACTCTGATAGGTAGATGATACAAGGTAGCCACAAAGAAATAGAACGTCAGACCAATTTTGCTTATGAATATTGGTGCTAAAAATAGTAAAAATTTTCAAACAAGATAGAAAATATATCAAATCCATCATTCAGCATGATCAAGTAGGCTTCAATTCAGGGATGCAAGAATTGTTCAATATATGAAAGTCCATCAACTTAATCCACTATAATAATAAACTGAAAGAAAAAATGCATGATCATCTCATTAGATCCTGAAAAGCCATTGACAAAATGTACTACCCCTTCACGTTGAAAATTTATAGAGATCAGGATCTGAAGGTAATGGCAACCCAATGAAAGACCAATAATATCAACTAACCCAGACCCCTCAGAGCATCCAGAGAATAAGCCACTACTCAAAGAGCATATATGGGTTAGTTAGTGGCCACTGGCACATATGTAGGAGAGAAGTGCTTTGTCTGACCTCAGTGGCAGAGGATGCACCTAATTCTATAGAAATGTGATGCCCCAGGGAATTGAGATACTGGCAATGGTGAGGTGGGTAGGAATGGTGGAGTGAGGGAGGACCCTCTCAGAAGCAAACATGAGAGGGCATAGGATGAAGAATTCAGGGAGGGAGGACAAAGAAAGGGGCAATATTTGGAATATAAATAAATAAAATAATTTAATAAAAATTAAAAGGGAAAATGAGTAAAGAAAACATTTCTGTTTCTAAAAGTGTCATGGCAGCTTTCCTTGGAGGGAACCTGTCATGATACAGCTATAGTACTTGTTAGCATGCAACATTTCCAGGACAGAATGTACGCTTTTGCGAAGAGATTCTGTGTCATTTCATTTCTATAATCTTGGAATATAGTAATTACCAGTAAAGCCTAATTTATTGGGTGAAAATTTTCAAGTACCTATTTTTAATATTTTTCCACAGAACTTTGTACCATTAAAATAAAGTATCTTTCCTCCAAAGATCACTGTATTAAATGGGGCAGTTAAAATGAAGTGCAAATTCGTACTTTAAAAAAAAAAAGAAAAAAAGAAAGAAAAGTGAGCAGGAAGCTGTGTCTCCCTCACCCCGAGGAAGTTTCCAACTCATTATAAGTAAAACTAGATAGTGAGAAACATTTGAGTAATTTAATCTTCACCAGGTGCTTCTAAAAGTAAATCAACTATGTAATAAATAATAAAAGAAAGATACAGGTTTTTGTTACTGAGGGTAAGTTTTGCGCAATAAATTGTTGACACAAGATGGGGCTATTTGACACACCATGTCATAGCACCTTCCATGATTCAACTTTCACTGGTTTCTGAAAACTAGGGAGATTAAAACTACAGGGAGATTCCCGGGATGAGGGCCTTTTGTCTCAGTTAAACAAATAGAAGCCAGTTCAGTTGGCTTTATAGCTACATCTGCAACAAGGAAATCCCTCTCTTATCCTCTGCGGTATCATGGAGTGTATGTTATTCAAGAAATTATACTAATTTCACACCTCAGTGCCTTTTACGTCTATTTTTGACATTTGTGTTTTTATCTAGTTTCCCCCAGTTTGTTTTTGAGTAGATTGACTGTATCTACAAGGGTGTTGAAGTAAAAGTGAAACATATCAGTGCTGCTAGTGTAAACAAAGTTGTGTAAAGTTATACAGCACTAACCTATTTGTAGGAAACTCTCATGGCCCTCATGGGTGATATTCTGTCTTTAAACTTCACCTATGTATACTTATGTCTTTGAATTTACAGAACCTTCTTTAGGAAACCAATGGCATATTTTTTGAACAAAAGTAGAAAATTTATCAAAGTATCATGAAAATACATTACAAGAATGTCAAAATAGAAATAAGTGAAGCACGTGAAGGAAAAGAGATTTGTTCTTCATAATTTGTGTGCCCCATCCTTTCTTTCAGTGATTTCACCATCCTTTTTGATTTATGGATCCACAAGTCTGACATTTTTTATATATTACTTCTACTAATCTCAAGGCCCACATTGAACAACACATATGTCAAGTAGCAGGAATGAGGATTCACAAAGTACAAGATGGAGAGATATTTAGGGGAAGAACCATGTAGGAGAAATAAAGAACATAGCTGTGAATATGATGTCTTCCATAAAAGAATAACTTATGTTGGAAATTTATTAAGCAGCATATTACGTGCTACATGTAGGGGGAAATGAGAAAGGTCATCACAGAGATAAGTCAGATAATTCTGGCAAAGAACATAGGATACCTCAGACACATCTGCCATGTTGACAGGCCATGAAAATGTCAGATAACCTACAGAAACTCCAACTTTCACTTTAGTAATACACTGGCTCTAGACCTAGACTATAACTTAAAAAGTTTGCTTGTGGAGAGGGACACAGAAGTAATGGTCCCTTTGCCTTTCTTTAGAGTCCCCGAGCATGCCTTGGTTCAGAGTATCTCTAAGCACTGGGAAGTACTCTACAGGCTGGGCTCTATCATATGCTAGGGACCTAGTTTCATGCAGTTGAAATTTACAGTGGCTGAAAACAGAAATCCCTGCTGTGTATTGTTTTCCTAGAACAGAAAAAGCCCTACACTAGCTCCCAGCATCACATAAACTAGAACATGACACCACACACCTATAAGACCAACAGTCAGGAGGATCAGGAATTCAAGTTCAGCTTTATATACACAGGGATTGACTCAGGCTGAGTTACATGGGATTTTATCTAAAAAAAATCACAATAACCAGTTAATGACTACATTGATTCCTCTCACTGCCCAGGGTTCATTGGTGAAAGTTAAGGTCAAGGTTTTGACTTTGTTTCCTTTATGTCAGGAAGGAATTCCTCATTTTTGATTTTGAACAGAGGCATTAGAAGGTAAACTCATTTGTCTCTACTTCACTGCTGCTGTAAATCTAATATACTATAGGCATTGTCATTGTCTTCAATTTACTGAGTATATTAAAATCCTAGAGAAATCATTGGGTGAGTGAAAAGGCAGTAAGCATGAGAAGCAAAGAGATTTTGATAATTCCTATCAGTCTCCCTGATTCTTGATGTCCTCAGGCATCCAGATGGGAAAAGACATGGATGTTTCAGGATTTCAGAGTCAAAGCATAGCCAAAGAAACTGCCACAGATAAAAAAAACTGTTGGCACTGTACTTTTATTAGTGAAGGAAGAATTAGGGAATGTACAATACCCAGAACCAAAAACATGAGTACCTTTAAATTCCCCGAGTGTCTCAGAGAATTCTTCAGGATTTCCATTACTTGCTAGTTAGAATGCTATACAATGAGCCTAATGTCCTGGGGGCTGAGTCATTTGTTTTTCATTTAGTAGCCAATATGTGTATAAAAATGATGAACTTTTGAATTTCTTTTCCCAGGGTATGTGGAAATGTGATATAGAATTTCGAAAAAAGTATGGTGATATGTGGGGGTAAGTAGTTTGGAAATGTGTAATATGTGGTTTTGCTAATATGTAAAAAGAGCCTGCATGAAAACTTTGTCAGCACAGAGTATCTTGAGATGCATTTACCTATTTTAAAGTATCTGAAAGACTGCCCTGACAACACTTCCATAAGAATGTTGTAATTCACAGTCTCAATGATGTAGATGATTTGTCTACATCTTTGATGATCCAGACACAAAGCCTTACTTTTACCCGCTGTCATATAAAGGATCTTGCCTCCATTTACTGTTAATTAGAACTTTTAATAATTGTGAGAAATGCATTCATTTAGATGCAAGTAATATGTGGTTATAATTTTAGAAGAATGTCTCCTGTCTTCAATTAGTTAAAAACAAAGGCAGTTTGTAAAATTTCCAGTATTCTCAAAGAAAGACCTAATTTTCCTTTTTCTGTTTTTAAACCTTTTTATTTATTCCTTGTGAGTTTTACACAGGCCATGCCAGTACCATTCATCATCCCATCCCTTATAACCACCTCTCAGAATATAACCCAATCTTCTGAGTAAATAACCACACACACACACACACACACACACACACATATGCAAACCACCACCATCAATGATGACAATGATGATGATGACAATAACAATGAAAAAAAAAATCAAAGCATGTGGGAAAAATTTCCTGCTGTGGTGGGTCTCACATTCAGGAGAAATCCTATGGTTCCAGCGGCCTGGAGGCCTTGGCGGTGGCCCCAATAACACGAGGAAGTCCTTGGTTCCAAAATGGTTTATTGTCATGGTGGATGATAGATGGATCTAGGTGTACCCCCCAAAACTCAGGGCAGTCCCGAGTTATATAGGGAGGGAGAAAGGGGGAGGATTGGAGGAGGATCTGGGGGAGGAATGATTAATTTGCTCTGCCCTCTGGCCTTCATTAGTAAGTAAATCCCTATGGCCTGAGGCCTATAGCCTGGCCTATGTAATTCTATGGAGACCGTGACTGCTTTTCAGGATTCTGGGTTCTGGGGGGTGCCAAACTCCTGCCGGTTCTCATGCAGAATCCCATCTAGAATCCGCAGAGTCTCAGGGTTCTAGGCACCTGCTCCACCGTGACCCAGGATACCCTTATGCAGTCCCTCATCTCATCCCCTTTACTTTTTGAAAAAAGGTGGGTCACTGTGAACATTTTGGATGAGGAAGCTGAAAGAAAGCACTATGTAGGCCAGAGGTATTAGCGTAATCACGTCACAGGGTAAGGGGAGTTGGGGGGGGTAGGGAAGGTAAGGGATCATTGAAACAATTAAATATATATATTGTACAATTTGAGAGTAATGACATCTGATTAATCTAAATAGACATTATAATTTCTTCTCTAATACATCACTTCAGCTATGTGACTTTGGCAAGAGTTCATCTGTAGTTGGTATCGAGTATTTCTGGGTCTTCAGTCAGACGAGATGACTGGGAGAAGGCAGTTTGTCAGGTTTGAGGAGATGGCACTGTCTCGGCATCAGCTCATCTCTGGAGTCTATAGTCTGCCGAGATGTAGGCAGCTTGTCTCTGTTGGATCTGTGGAATAATCACAGGGAGGCAGCATCTCCAGCAGGGAGATGTCTGAAAGGTGAGTATTGAATCACTCTTGGAAAGTCAAAGGTGTTTGAGGAAATTGGATGGCTGAAGGAGGAAACACTGTGTTAATAACATCTGGGGTAGACATCCACAGTTTGTCTGTGAAGGAAAATTAGTTGTTAATTAAAAGCTGAAAGGTCGTGGTGATCAGCATGTTGATTTAACCTGTGGAAGTAAATTTAGATGACTTTCAACTCTTGAAGAAGAAAACAATTTTTTAAAGAGTTGAAGAAAGTGTTGGACATATATCACAAGTATTAGAGAGAAAAGGAAATATTTAAACAAAAAGCAAAAAATTTTGGGTTGAAAAGCATGAACACTGTTGTTGTAGGTAACACTGTTTGGGAGAAAATTATCAAGGAAGGGTTTAAAATCAGTGGGGGAAGGGGCCTGTTAGAAGCCAAGGCATTCCCCCTTTTGTTTTTCTTAGAGAAAAGAAAGGCTAACTTTGAGGAAAAGTTTAAAGTGAAAAACATGGATGTTTGATAACAGAGTCAGAAGGCGTGAAAGGCTGTGTGAGACTGAGCTATGGCAGGGAGACACCTAGAGGCTAGTACCTAGAGTCAGCAGCTCACTGTTCTCAGAGGGGGAGGGGAGAACAGGCAGAGGCAGTGGCAGTTTTTCTAGGCTTAGCCTGGAGTTTTATCTCGAAAAGTTAACCCCTGGGGGAGGGGCAAACCTCTTGCCAGGCAGAGCGCAGGAGATTTTTTTGGGGGAGGGGTAAAGAATGGCGATTAAGGAGTCTCCGCCATTTTGTGGGAAACACGTGGAGAGAGAAACTTAGTTTTTTGAGCCAGGCAGGAGCTAGTGGTAGTTAAGATTTAGAGAGAAAACGTAGCCAGAAACATGTGGAGAGAGAAAGAGGGAGAAAGGATAGAGAGAGATCTGTCTAGTCTTAGGGACTAGGCTGGAGTTACTCATGGTTCCATGGAGAGGGTCTTGGCGGGCGCCAACGGGGGGGGGGGGGTACCCTTGGAACTGGCTTTGTCCGGATCCTCTACAACCTGTAGGGAACGATGTAGGCCCATTCATGGGCACGCGCGGGCGTGAATCTCTGTTGTGTTGTGTGTCCGTGTGTCTGCTGTGATGCAGTAAGCCAGCATGGCAGGAGCACATGGGATCTTGGCTGAGTTTATTCCCTGCAACACCAGGCAAGTGCAGCGGGGCCCCGCCCAGCATGGGGAATTTTCACTCAGGTTCCACGGGGGTGTAGAGCTTTTGGACTGGGGATCTCCGGGCCAGAAGTTGGCCGGAGACGGACTGGTCTCGAGTCCTTGGTTCTCAGGACCGAGACAGGCATGTGGGCTAGCATCGGACAACCCACTGCTGAGAAAATGAAAAAGATTGGGGATCCCTGTGCTCTGAGGCAGCCACGGACCAATTGGTCTCAAGTCCTTGGCTCGTAGGACTGAGACGGGGGCATGTGGGCTCACGTGGGGCAACCCACAGCCGAGAAAAGTAAAGGGATGGGGAAGAAGAAAGAGGCCCTAGCAGCACCTGTGGGAGAGACTGTACTTGCTTAGCAGACTTGGCAGCCTTGACAGCTTGCTTGAAGATGTGGGTCCTCATGGCTGGAACGAAGAGATCCTCCAAGTGAGAGATTAATCAGCTGTAGCTTTAGTCAGCATGAGAGAAGCGCGGAATCTTCACTGAGTCGATTCCTCACAGCACCAGACAAGCAGGGCGGGAAGCTTGGCTGCGTTCTGTAGCAGACTGGGGTGGCCCGGTCCTTGAAGTCCATAGGTGTCTGTGCCCCACATTGGATGCGCCAAAATGTGAGAAAAATTAAAAAGGCTGCCACAGCGGTGGGGCCCCAGAGGGGCTTCCACTGCTGTGGCAGGTCCGACATTCAGGAGAAATCCTATGGTCCCAGCGGCCTGGAGGCCTTGGAAACAAGAGGCCCCAATAACACGAGGAAGTCCTTGGTTCCAAAAAGGTTTATTGTCATGGCGGATGATAGATGGATCTAGGTGTACCCCCCAAAACTCAGGGCAGTCCCGAGTTATATAGGGAGGGAGAAAGGGGGAGGATTGGAGGAGGATCTGGGGGAGGAATGATTAATTTGCTCTGCCCTCTGGCCTTCATTAGTAAGTAAATCCCTATGGCCTGAGGCCTATAGCCTGGCCTATGTAATTCTATGGAGACCGTGACTGCTTTTCAGGATTCTGAGTTCTGTGGGGCACCAAACTCCTGCCGGTTCTCATGCAGAATCCCATCTAGAATCCACAGAGTCTCAGGGTTCTAGGCACCTGCTCCACCATGACCCAGGATACCCTTACGCAGTCCCACAAAAGCGCACAAAACATCTTATTGTGGAAGTGATAAGTCCCAGTGTGTTCCACAGTATATCTCTCTGTCCACATGTCTTTACTTACAAATGTTCACTGCAATGAGTCATTGGTTTGAGTTGAGGACTCTGACTTGTGTGACACCATCAATATTGGATCGTATTTGGGACTCCTCCTAGTTATTCTGTTGTTGCCTAGTGTCATGAAAATTCTGAAACTTTGAATAAGAAGGTCTGGTCTATTCATGTGCCTCAATCATTAGCAGATGATGTAGATTTTGAGGTGGGCCAACTCAGAGCCCTGAATCTGGACCTTTGTAGTAGCAAAGCTAGTCAGCCCAACTGGCTATCCCTTATCCACACCACCAGGGTGAGCTTACCAGCATTGCTGTAGCCCTGTCATGCAGTGGTGCCATCGAGAAGACACAGGATCAGTTTTCCTTCTTTCATTCCATGAGGTGGCTCACCCATACTCACATCTCTAGAAGCAGAGCTACTGTGCTTCCCAGGCAAGGTGCAGGACTGACTGATTCTCACCAGTGCTGCAACAGATGTGGAATAGAACTAGTTTAACAGCTGTTATAACTACAGGGTCAAATCTTCCAGCTGCCACAGGTGATGAGTAGAAAAGGAAGGAGAGCATCTCATACTACCACCACCAACTCACATCAGGTGAGTGGCTGGGACAGCTCTGGCTCACTATCATCCTCAGGTCTGACTCACCTGCACCCCTCAACTGTGGCCAGCACTACTGTGCTGCTCAGGTGATGTATAAGACTTCTGATTCTTAATTTTAATATAAATAAATATAAGGTTTAAATTAATATAGTGGCTATTTTTCTTTATCCTAGCTAGTTCCTCAATAATGACACGAAAAGACCAAGATTTATTTTAAAGCTTCACCTCAATACCTGGGAAGTCAATTGATCTATACCTCAAACTAATCTGGAAATTTTCCAGCCAAAATCTGCATAACACATGTATTTAGAACCTTCCATGCTTTTGCTGAACTCTCATGGATCCCTTCCTCCTTTCTCTTCCTGGTAGAATCTGAATCTCTCTTCCACTTTCTCTTCCTGCCCACCAATTGGGTAATAAGCTTTTATTGACAAGGCAGAGAGTAAATGGTAAGACACAAATTTTAGACCTGACATTATTGATGTAGGCATTACAATGCGCTGTGAAGATTGAAATAAGATATGAGGACAGAGAACATGGCATTTGAATAACACAAAGATACCTTTTATACAGTGTACAAAAAGATTATGCATACAAAGTTCTCCTGTCATGAGCACTGTGTCCAGTGAGAAACAGGGCCAGCTCATCTGTTCTCATGACCCCACTGCCTGCTCTCCTGACTGCTGCAGATGGTGAGGGGGGCACCCACACCCCACCCACATCATTTCACAGTAGGAGTTTGAGGACCATCTCTCTTGTGCTCTTGCCCTGGATTGGCTCATCCATGCCTCTTAACCTGGGCCAGCCCTACTGTGTAAATGAATTATCCTTAACATACACATAAGTGGTGAATTAATTTGGCAGCTGCATTTATTTACCTTATGCTATTCTCCAACAACTACACAGAACAAATAACATTTATTCAAAACTGTACCTCAATAGCTGAGCAGTTAAACAATCTACCCTTTTCTCCTATGCTAATCTGGCTACCGCCCAGCCACATCCCAGGATACTTGCATATTATTATTTTTCTGGCTCTTTGGACTACTTCTTTATGGTTCCAATTCCTCCATCCTGCCTGCTAATTCGGAACTTTCCTTCTCTTTTCTTTCTATGGCTTGCAGATATTCTGCCCTATTTTCTGTTCTGCCCAGCCATTGGGTAATTAGCATTTATTGACAAGTCAGAGAATAAATGGTAAGAACTATTTACACAAACTTGACATGGAGATTCTTGGTATAAGCACGGTTCTTGGTTCAGTGACATGTCTGTATTGAGACAAGTTATGAGGGCAGAAAAATCAGTATTTGAATAACTAAAGGGTACACTTAACACAATGTATAACATCATTATGCCTACACTGCTGTGATGCCATGCAAAGTGCAGGGCCTGCTGAAAATGGGCATATTTATAGTTATTACTTTTGTTTAATTTGTAGTATCTATACAGTGTGGATTTCTTACTGTTTACTTCATTTTTGCTAGAGATTATAATTGCTTCCTTTCTCCATTCTCTTTTCTCCATTCATATATATATATATTTGTATGTTATTTATGGTCACAACCTGCTCAATCTGTATAGTGTTAATTATATGTACATTTTTATGATCGTATGATCCAACTACATGGAATTGGATAATCAATTGATGTTTTCTTCCCTGGGGACAAACATTTCTCTCAGTCTCAGGATTCTGTACTTGCCTGTACTTCTTTTCATAGGTTTGAGGCATCCTAGGCTTTCTCTCATTTTTTTTTGAGACTAGGTCTCAACATATCCAGTGTACAGCTAGAAATTTCTATGAAGCCCATAATGGCCAAGATATCACTGTTTTCCACGTCTGCCTCTTGGATACTTGTCTTAGAAGTCTGTGACATCACACTTTGATGAAATATCTTTTTCCTTCCATTATTTATTACAGTTATTACAAGACTATAACTATTTAACAGGAATGTATATGGATATTTTTCTCAGCACATACTAATCACAGGTATAATATGAGTTATAGCATATTACACTACTGCCTTCTAGGCTTGTTTCATTAATTATTTTGTGTGATATCTGAAGCCAGCAGCAGCAGAACTTCCCTATGAGAGGTGCTGGTAATTTGGTTAGAGTCTGACAAGAAGTGACATCAATGCTCTGTGTGGCACAAGCAAGGTAGATCAGGTTCTAATTCTTCATCTCATCTTATTCATCATCAGAAATCTCTGTACTAATCACAAAGTCAGTTGGGTTGTCATGGTCAATAAGAGCTACTTGTTCCAGTGCCAAGGGCAGTCTTTGCTGAATTTGTTTTTTTTTTTCAACTTTTTATTGGTTCCTTGCGAATTTTATATTATATCACACACCCTAATTTCACCCATCACTCTCTTTTCTCATACCCACTTTCAACACTTGCAACCTCCCCCAAACAGAAAAATATAAGAAAATCACATTGTGGCAGCATTTAAGTGTCACAGTGTATCCCACAATATTCCATTTTGTCCATACTTCTTTTGTTGAAAATGTTCATTGTAATGAATTGTTTGTCTGGTCCTAGTCCTCTGGCTTCTACTATACTATCAAATCTGGAACCTCACTGGGGCACCTCTCATATATTCTGTCGTTGTTAATTATCATGAAGATCCTGTGGGTTTTATTTGACTTTTGATTTTGTTTGATTTTATCTATATGACTGTCCCTTTCATGCACCCCACCAGTTCATGGAAGTCACTGTCAGGGTGTGCCAATTTAAAGCTCTGGATCTGGGCCTGAGGGGTATCTGAAAAGGTCAGCCTGCCAGCTCTACCATACCCACACCACTGGGACAAGATTTTCTGTTCTCATGCTCCTATCAGGTGCCTACTCTTCCACTCAACTCACCTCAAGTGGTGAGGCAAAAGGGAGAGGAGGGGATCTTTCCTTCAATGCCACTGAACTGTTCTACATTTCTAATTTACAAAAAGGAAGAGTTCCTTGTAATTTTATTGTTTGTCAGTTGTTAATACTTTGTCCTTAAGGGCTAAGAGATGGCTCAGTAGTGAAGAACTATTGATCTTACCAAAGATCAAGATTCAGTACACAGTTCGGGATCAAAGTGGTATACTCATCTCTGTTTTCCTAATACAGGCTATATGACGGGAAGACCCCTGTCCTGGTAATCACAGATCCAGACATGATAAAGGATGTGTTAGTGAAAGAATGTTATTCCGTCTTCACAAATCGGCAAGTAGGTATTTTGTTTTTGAAAATGTAAACATTATACATATTGGACTAGTTCGTTCTGTCTGCCTGCCTCTATCTATCTATCTATCTATCTATCTATCTATCTATCTATCTATCTATCATCTATCTATCTATGTCTGTGTATGTGTGCATTTATACATGAAATAACAATTATTGAAAAACATGAATGAATACAAAAAAGATAAGGAAGGAGTATTTGTAAAAGACAAATGTAATCATAATCCCAGTAAGTAAAAAATTAAAATGTGAGCATTCATTTAAAAATTTTACTATGAAAAGCTGAAGATGTTGCCCAGTAGTAGATTAACCTTGCTCTTGGTTCACTCTTCTGTACAAACAAACAAACAAATGACCAAACATGCAAACAAACAAATATTTTATTATTAAATTCTTATGAAGTCACCATGATTTGCCAACAATGTACATGAGTGCTATGTGTCTTAATGCTACTGTGTTGGGAAGCAAGGGAGCTCAACCTTCCTGAAGGAAAATATTCAGAGATTAATGAAAAACTTTAATTAGGTTGTAGCAATAGCATCTAGCTATTGTTTAAAGAGGTCTGAACTTGCTATCTAATCAGGTATTAATGGTGGTCACTTCTCTAGGAAGAAGTGAAGATGTGACACTTATCAGAGAAGATAAACTAGTAGAGTCACAGAGCAGAAGTCAGTAGTTCATTTTAGCATATTTGCTATCTCAGACCAAAGACAAGTATCTATTATCTCCTTACTTTTATGCCACCTCATATTCCCCAAGAAAAACTAGTAATCATAGTGAAGGTTAAGGTTAGTGTTTTACTGATCTCTTTCAGTTTTACCTAGGTTACATATATATGTACATACGTATGTATGTATGTATGTATGTATGTATGTATGTATGTATGTGTGTATGTGTGTGTGTATGTGTTTTAATAAGTGTTCTAAGCTTTATTGGTGTCAGTGCTTGTTTTCAAACCCAGATTTCCCAGTTTTCTTTGATAACAGAGCTAAGAATTTATAAAAAATAACAAGCATCATTCAAATTCATGCCTTTTTGTATAAACCACTAAGCAGGACACTTTTGTAAATTTTAATTAAATTACAATTATATCATTTATTTTTCTCCTGCTCTCTCTCCTCATATTCTCACCTAAACTCTCTTCCAAATTCACACACTTCTTTCTTTCTTTCTTTCTTTCTTTCTTTCTTTCTTTCTTTCTTTCTTTCTTTCCTTCCTTCTTTCTTTCCTTCCTTCCTTCCTTCCTTCCTTCCTTCCTTCCTTCCTTCCTTCCTTCCTTCCTTCCTTCTTTCTCTTTCTTTTTTTTAAACAGAGTAGCAATATATGTCCTAGGTATTCTGCAATTCTCTCTGTAGATCATGCTTATCTAAGAATCATGCAAATCAGTCTGCCTTTGCATTTTCAGTATCAGAATGAAAGATGTATGTCTCTTTAACTAGTTACACATAAATACAGATACAAAAATACAATTTGATTAGACAATTCAATGTTGCCAGCATATGTATGTTTCTAGGGATAATTACTAGATATTTAACAACTAATCAGGGGATGTATTTCAGGAGAAGACTAATTCTCCCCCTCCCCAACTCTTCACCTAAGAGTTGCCTCACTAACATTTCCCCCACATCACTTTAATGAAATTGTTCAGGTCTTGTTTATGCAATGATGTCGTTGATATTTCATGGTATGGCTTTCCTGGTATAGCTAGAAAGCACAATCTCAGAAAACTTCCTGATACTCTGGCTCTTAAAATTCTGGCCATACATTTGCAATGTTTTATTATTAGCCTTAGGTGCAGGAACTGTGTTGTGATGGTATCAGTTGGGAAGGAGAACAGCATATCAATTAGTCCTCTCCATAACGACTAGCTGTGGTTTTCTGTAATTGTCACTTTGCATTTCAAAAGAAATATCTTGATGAGGATTGAGATCTATACTTTTCTGTGGATCCAGTGAAAAACATTCAAAGACAGTTACAAAACATGCTGTTTTGGGAGGGTAATAATAGTAGGCTCACATCTAGAAACATGTCCTCATTAGCCACTCATATTTAGCTAAGTTTTCAGTACTACCAAGCATTTCTCTACTTTGAGCAAGCCTTGAATCCAACTAGTCAGTTACTGGTTACTACCAAGATATTAATAACACTATTTTACTTTTAGAAATATTTTGTTATGTTAGTATTTGTTGTGTTCCATAGGCATCATAGCTGGTTGGACCTATTGATTGATACCCCCACCCCAGAAGTGTTTAGATCACCTTTCTGATGCAATGAAAACTAGTATCCACTCTTTTGGGGTCAGTTATATTTTAATTCCATATCCAAAGCACATGGTGAACCTGTGTCTCATTCAAGCATTTTCAATGTTATTTATCCCCCCTTTTCACTATTTTCTGTAGTTTCCCTTTGTTCCTCTTCAATTAAAGTTCCCTTTCACTTTTCCCATTTATCCTTCATATTACATGTATACCATATATCCTGTTATTTTCCTCTTGGGAATTCCCCATGCCATGGTCCTTTTTTACTCTTTTACTTCTAGTGGTTACCCTTTATTGTATACTCACATCTCAAGGTTGCTATCTAGCAGCCACATATATTAAAAAAATATGTGGTGTGTGTCTTTGTGGGTCTGGGTTATCTCACTCAATACAATATTTTCTTGTTCCACTCATGTAACTGCATGGTTTCAATTAGCTTTGGAGTTAAATAGCATTCCATTTGAATGTATGTATATTTGTGTGTGTGTATGTATGTATGTATGTATGTATGTATGTTTGTATGTTTGTACTTATTATTATTACACGTGCATATATGTGTGTACCATATATATATGTATATATTTGCACTTCTAATATATATAAAGACACATATATATGTAAATATACATATACATACACACACATACACACACACACACACACACCTGTATTGAAAAGGAGTGGGGATGGTGGATAGCCCTGTCTCACTCATCTTTTTCACTTAATTTAATGTATTGCTTGATTTTTTTTCTTCATTGAGAATAATGTTGGCTGTGGATTTGTAATATAGATAAATTATTATTTAAGTGCTTACTATATATTTTATTTGTTGTATGTCTTTTATTCCTTCTCTCTTTAGAAAGTCATGTTAATTTTTTCAAACACTGTCTTAAAAGCATCACTGCCAGGCCTAGAACTCACTTCTACACCAGGCTGATATTGAACTCAGAGTATCTACCTGTTTCTCCTTCCTGCATGCTGACATTAAAGTACATAGCACCATCACACTGAATTTTTTTAAATCACTTATTGTGTTTTTAGTTTACTTATTTTTAAAGATTTATTTTTATTTTTTAAATAATATGTGTATGCAGTGCATCATCATGTGGGTATGTGCACATGAGATATTCAAGCAATTCATGTTTTTAATATTTTCATTATTTCATGTTTGTATAAAAGATTTTATTATGTTATTATTGTATTTTTTAGTATGTTTTACTTTGTTTTTTTGGGTTTTTTTTTTTCGGGTCAAACAAGCATTAAACCATTATACATTGCACATTCCAAACAACTTGCTAAGAGACTACAGAAAAAAAAATCCCAACCTTTAATATATGCAAGCAAACACCACACCACACATTAAGTACAGCAACTAGTCCACAAATAAAATACATGTTACCATATGTACATGTAATATATATGTGTGTGTGTGCGTGTGTGTGCGTGTGTGTGCGTGTGCATGAGTGTGTATGTGTTGCTTACATTTAGCTCCTACTACGTAGTCTTTTTCCTCTATCACACATGTTGTTCCCCCTTCTTATTCCAAATTTTAATTCCTTATACTCTAATGAATTTTAAAGCATTGTAAGTAAATTTATTAAGTGTTAAACAAAAATAACATAGATTATATAATTATTTGCAGGAACATGAGCCCCTTTCACTTTCTACACTGCTAAAGAAAATGGCTTTTCCATCCCTGGATACCAGTACCTACCAGTAGCAAAAGGACCTCTCAAAACTTCCATTCTCTAGGGTTTAGTGTTTGTGGTTCTTATTCTGTGTAGGCCTTCGGCCATTTAACACAATTGCTAGAATTTCATGAATGCAATGACCTTTCATGCCTCAAAGGCAACTTTCTACATGTCTCTACCCTTTTTATAGAGCTTCTAGTGTTTAAAGGCTTTATTTACAATCATTTAAATATATGTGCATGTATGTGTCTGAGTGTATGTTTAAAGTGTTTATGAAGACAAGAAGTGGGTGCTGGAGTCTCTGTATCTGAAGGTATTGACAGTTGACCCACCTGACAGGGTCTAGAACCTGAACTTACGTCCTTCTCAGGAACAGTATACGTTCTTTATTAATAATTCACATCTCCAATATAGGTTTTATATTTCTTCTGCTCCACTCCTTTTTTGACTTCCCTTGAGGCTTTGAGTGGGTTAATTAGCTATCACTTTTAGGAGTGAGAATTCTTCAGTCACTATTAAAAATTTTTATCTAATTATAATTTTCCGTATTACACTTTTCCCATAGTAAAATAAACCTTCTGTGACAACCACTGACATCAGTAATCTATGGCTGTTAATGTAAGAACCTAGAGGGCAATTAGATAAGCATCACTTGCCCATTTAGTAAGAAGAGCTGCGCTAAGATCTATGACTTGCTTTTATGAGATTTACAACTCCATGTATGTAGCCAGTCATTAAGAACACTGACTGTTATTATTGAAGACCAGGGTTCAATTCCCAGTAGTCATATACCTAAAACTCATCTGTAATTTCAATGTCTTTAAATCCAGTTCCCTCTTCTGGGCGCTGCATCTGCTGCACCCCTGTGGGACAGATGTAAATGGAGGAAAAACTGCTTGTACAACTATCATTAAATCCTCAGTTGTGGGAACATGGTGAATTTTTAGTTGGATTGATATTCTACAGATCTAGTGGGGGTAACCATAAACATTGTGAATTCATGGGTGCAATATCCATAGCATACCTAAAGTCCAGGC